GAAGAGAGCCTGATGATGCTTCCTCCGCGGTGTCCACCAGCCTTTCTTCCAGTCTTATACTTTGCATATAATTCTTAAGCCAGCCCCCAACACACATGCGCGCGCGCGTTCACACACACACATACACACTTACTCTACAGCTTTCATCCTGATGTCTGGAATTTTTGATTGGCATTCAGTGAATGGTGAATGAACAGTCCCTATGTAATGATGTTGAAGTGAACTAAAATAGAATTTACAATAAAATATTTCTCTGTAGCTGTGGTTGCCAAGGTTCAAACATTCAAAGAGAAATATTCTTTTAGAAAGAGAGCTTAAAATAAAATGTGATGCCACTAAATTACAGAATAATCTACAAAATCTAGAAACTGTCCAGAAATTACCTTTGAGTTACTTCTTTCTAGCAACCCCCCCAGACTCATCATCTTGGATGGATTGTTTGATACTATGAAGTATTTCTTAACATTGTGTTATTTTTTAAGATGAATATTTAGCCTGAACTCTTGTTGGAACAGGACAGCTGGGAAGTGGTGGAAGGACTAAGGGGAGACATGAATTACACCCAGGAGCCTCCAGTTCAGAAAGGATTTTTGCTGAAGAAGCGGAAATGGCCCTTGAAAGGCTGGCACAAGGTAAGACCCTGGCCTTGGCCTCCCCTCAGTTGCCCCTATTCTACTCTTCTTAGAACCCACTTCTTGTGCACTTATGTTTGATTTGAAGTTCAAATTTGAGACCAGAGAAGCAATGTTTCAGTGGAGCATTTCAATCAATTATACTGTCTTCTCTGCAGAGATTCTTCTACTTGGACAAGGGAATCTTGAAATATGCCAAGAGCCAAACTGACGTAAGTTTTCTGGTTGCTCCAGCATGCTACTGGAGAGGTCTGAAGAAGTACTTGCTGTCAGGTCAGGGGAGAGACTGTGTACATTTGAGGGTCTCAGTGCTCTGAGGATCAAGTTTCTCTGGGTAAACAGAGGTGCCAGTTCCCTGCTGTCTCAGCTCTGGTCCTAGGTAGGCACAGGTGTACTGACAAGGTGTCTCCTATTACTGCATTGGGTATCTGTGGATCTGTTCTGGTCTTAGGGTTGTACTAAGAGGTTCTCTGAGTGGGAGAAGTTAGCCTTGCAACCAATCACAGAAGCAAAGCAGAGTACAGTGGCCTTCCATGCTTGGGCTGATGGAGAGGCTTGGAGGAGAAGCCTTGGAGCTTTGGCTGAGGAGTTAATTCTTGGACCAGGCAGTTGGTCTGTGACGGTTGTGAGCAACTGGTATGCCTAGAGCTATGGAGGCCTTCTGTCTTCCTTTCCTCCCCTCCCATCCTCTCTTAGCCTACTTGTAAGTCACTTCTCAATGAGTTGACACCAGACACTAATTCAGTGGGAGGCAGTGCCCTTACCTGGATAATTCACAGGAGTCAGCCCATGGGGATCCTATCTTGTTTCTTCACATTCTAGCTGTGTAAATGTCTTGTTACTTAACTCCTCTGCATTGCATCCTTGAAACAGGGAGCATGCTTTATACTCACAGAGGGCAGAAGGCAGCACACGGTACTAGCTCGCATGGAGTGCTCCGTCATAGCATTTGTCTTTACTGTTAGTGGATGTGGAGATGGTGGGAGTGGGAAGGTGTTCCTAACCTCTCAACCTGTGGTTCTCAAGTAGCCTTCTTTATGGCTCTGCAGATCGAGAGAGAGAAGCTACACGGCTGCATTGATGTGGGGCTGTCAGTGATGTCCGTAAAGAAGTCGTGCAAGTGCATCGACCTTGACACTGAGGAGCACATCTACCATCTGAAGGTGAGGCTGCTTCCCAGGTGTGCTCCCTGCCATGCAGAGCCCCTTTAGGCTTTTTCTTCCAGTTTTTGTCTTATTTTTTGTTTGAGATGTAGTCTTACTCTATTACTCAGGCTGGCCTCAACTCCTGGGCTCACATGATCCTCCTGCCTCACCCTCCTGAGTAGCTGCAACTACAGACATGCACCACTGCACTTAGCTGCATAGAGCCCCTTTGTGATGATTCTGTGCTATTAGTGATACCTTTGCAACTCTGAGCTAGCATGCAGATCTTCATCACCAAAATGTTCTAATGGACATTGGATATTGGGATGGGGCATTTCATAGTGCTGGGCTATCTCTCACACTGCTTAAAGGTTTGGCACCCTTGTTGCTTTGTACCCCCAATAACATCCCTCCTTCCTGGTGACTGTGACAACAGTAACAGAAATATCTTCACGTTTTCAAATTACCCCGTACCACACAGTGCCATCTTTTTTTCATTTTTTTTTT